CACCAGGAGTAGATTCCATCTCAAAAAACCACTTTGTTTGCTCAGCCATAATAAACAACTCGTCATCCATCCAAGTTTTATTACCAGATTGCAGCAATTCAGTCCCCTCTTCAGGGTCCACTTCTAATTTTAGTTCTCATGCTATTTCCACCATATCTGCAGTGACTTCCTCTATGAAGTCTCCAAGCCTCGAAGTCATCCATGAGGGTTGGAATCCACTCCTTCCAAACTCCTGTTCATGTTGATATTTTGACCTCTTCCCATGAATCAAGAATGTTCTTAATTGCATCTAGAATGGTGAATCCTTTCCAGAAGGTTTCCAATTTACTTTGCCCAGATCCATTAGAGGAATCACTAGCCATAGCAGCCATGGCCTTATGGAATGTATTTTTTAATAATAAGAATTGAAAGTCAAAATGACCTTGATCCATGGGATACAGAACGGATGCCGTGTTATCAGACATGCAAACAACATTCATCTCCTCGTCCCTCTCCACCAGAGCTCCTGGGTGACCAGGTACATTGCCAGAGCAGTACTATTTTGAAAGGAACCTTTTTCTCTGAGAAGCAGGTCTCAAAAGTGGGTTTAAAATATTCAGTAAACCATGTTGTAAACAGATGTGCTGTCATCCAGGCTCTATTATTCCATTTATAGAACACAGGCACAGTAGATTTAACATAATTCTTAAAGGTCTGAGGATTTTTGGAATAGTCAATGAGCACTGGCTTCAACTTAAAGTCATCAGTTGCACTGGCTCCTAACAAAGCCTGTCCTTTGAGGCTTTGAGGCCAGGCATGCGCTTCTCCTCTTTAGCAATGAAAGTCCTAGATAATATCTTTTTCCCATGTGAGGCTGTTTCATCTACATTGAAAATCTGCGCTCTCGTGTAGCCACCTTCATTAATTATCTTAACTAGAGCTTCTGGATAACTCACTACATCTTCTACATCAGCACTTGGGGCTTCACCTTGTACTTTGATGTCTATGGAGATGGCTTCTTTCCCTTAACCTCATGAACCACCCTCTGCTAGCTTCAAATTCCTCTTCTGCAGCTTCCTCAGCTCTGTCAGCCTTCACAGGATTGAAGAGAGTGAGGCCCTTGCTCTGGATCAGGCTTTGGCTTAAGGGAATGTTGTTGCTGTCTGATCTACCCAGACCACTCACATTTTCTCAGTATCGGCATTAAGGCTGTTTTGGTTACCATTCGTGTGTTCACTGGACTAGCACTTTTCACTTCCTTCAACAACTTTTCCTCTGAATTCACAAGTTGGCTAACTGGTGCAAGAGGCCTAGCTTTCACCCCATCTTGGCTTTCAACGTGCCTTCCTCAGTAAGCGTGATCGTTTCTACCTTGTGATGTAAAGTGAGAGACATGTGACTCTTCTTTTCACTTGAACACCGAGAAGCCACAGTTAATCACTGGACTAACTTTAATATTGTTGTGTCTCAGGGAATAGGGAGGTCCGAGGAGAGAGACAGGGATGGTGGAGGGGTTGGTCAATGGAGCAGTCAGAAACACATACAACATTTGTGCATCAAGTTTGCCATCTCATATGGGTGCAGTTCATGGAGCCCCAAAACAACTAGAATAGTAACATCAAAGGTCACTGATCACCATAAAAAATACAATAATGAAAAAGTGTGAAATGTTCTGAGGATTACCAAAATGTGACACAGAGACACAACGTGAGCAAATATTGTTGAAAAAAAGGCACCGGTAGGCTTGCTCCACACAGGGTTGCCACAAACCACACACACACATATACATATGATAAAACTGTGATATAGATAGATAGTTATCCACTATATCCACAGTTATCTGTGGAGTACAATAAAGCAAAAGCAAAGCACTATAAAACAAGGTATACCTGTATCTGGATAGGTCAGAGGCAGCATCCATGATATCATTTTGGCTCCCATAAAGGCCATCCTAGGACATGTATGATAAATGAGGCTGTCTCATGCACCCAAGTTTCTCCCTGTGCTCTCTGGATGGATCAAATTCATACCCTGTACGACCCAATTGTGCCCTTTACTGTGTGTGAATTCCAAGGACTTGGTTTTCAAAGGCTTATCCTTAAGACTCTGCTCTCAGGCCAGTAACCTGAATGGAATTAAATTATCCTGTGAAATAAATCCACAGGATAAAAATAGCTTTTGAATCTATCCTAATTAAATGTGTTCCCTTCAAAGTCAACCATATCAGTTGGAGCCTGCATATGGGATTCGAGTTGAAGAGTAAATTAAAATAAGTTCTCAAAACTGAACCACAGATGCCAAGAATTTAAATAAAACTTCTCAAGATGTGGGCTGATACAGCTTCACAGAAACGACATCAGGCTATAGTGTCCATCCTCCATAGTTGAAGACAAATGAAACTAAGTAGACTGAGAGGCGGTCACATCCCACACAGGAGAGCAAGTCTGTCGGCCTCATGCCAGTGTGATGTGGTCCGCAAGTAAAGCCTCTAAGGGTTCGAGAAAATGAGTTTTGACAACTGTGCTATTCTCCACTGCTTCCATCTGAATGTTTGTGTCCCTGACCATCCTTCTCCCCACGCCGACCCAAATTCATACGCTGAAATCCTCACCCCCAAAGGTGATGGTATTTGCGGGGCCTTTGAGAGGTGCTTAGGTCATGTGGGCGGAACCCTCATGAATGAGGTTAGTGACTTTATAAAAGAGGCTCCAGGGAGTTCCCTTAACCCCTTCTGCCATGTGAGGACATAGAGAAAAGATAGCTGTCACCAGACACTGAATCTGCTGCCACCTTGATCTTGGACCTCCAGCCTCCAGAACTGTGAGAAATGAATTTCTGTTGTTTAAAGCCACCCGGGGGGCGCCTGGGTGGCGCAGTCGGTTAAGCGTCCGACTTCAGCCAGGTCACGATCTCGCGGTCCGCGAGTTCGAGCCCCGCGTCGGGCTCTGGGCTGATGGCTCAGAGCCTGGAGCCTGTTTCCGATTCTGTGTCTCCCTCTCTCTCTCTGCCCCTCCCCCGTTCGTGCTCTGTCTCTCTCTGTCCCAAAAATAAATAAATGTTGAAAAAAAAAATTTAAAAAAATAAATAAATAAAAGCCACCCGGCCTGCGGTATTTTGTGAAAGGAGCCCAGAAGAATGAAGACACATGCTCTGCCTCCTTTTCATGAATTAAAGTCGCTCTATCACCAGAAGAGGAATAAGAAGTCCCCTCTTTAGTGGTAGAGTGTTCAAGTCTCTCCTGAGGAGGCAGTGTGGCCCAGTGGCTAACGGTATAATTTGAATTGTGGCTTTACTACCAGTTAACAGTGTGGTTGCTAAGCCTTTCTAAGACTCGGTTATTCACCTAAATAACACTAATAAGATTGTTATATAATAATAGTGCTGGAAGGATGAGGGCAGAAATTCAGGTAAAGACTGACTGTCACAAATGCTCCATGTAGCTCTTGTTGCCATCATTGGTATGAGTCTTTGGATTTACCGAAGTCCCTGTCAAGTTGGGAAGTCATAATTCTTAACAATTAAATGTGGGGAAGACTCTCTCTGGGATGACAGAGAGCAGATGGATGGATAAGCCACAGAAAGCAGAACAAGAGCAGAGCTCGTGGCCCAGAGTCTGATGCTACCTACCGTCAGGAAGATCTCTGAACTCCCTCCGCCACCAGCAACCCCCTCCAATCATGCACTGGGCGGAATTCTGAGACAGGAAAACTCCCATGCTGGAGGCTCCGGGAGAACAGAGAGCCTGATCAAGGAAGCTCAAAGCACAGGCCATCTACAGCAACCTGTGGCAGCTGCGCAGCTGAAGAATGAGTGGAGATTCCTGATTCTGTTCAAGCGGAAGACTCCCACTGCTGGTATCCGGCCTGGCTCCGAGCTCTTTGCCCACTTCTCTGCCCCACAGCTGAGGCTGAGACAAGGGCCGCATCTAGTTGAGGCTTTAGGGCTCTGCCCTGAGAATTAACATTTCTGTATCGTGCCTGTTATACTTCCTTTGCTTTCTCTCTTCTTTCTGGCATCGTCGATCCATCCTGATGAATTCTTTCCTAGCCTCACTCCTCTCTTCCTGTTTTGACTCTAAGATATTTAAGGATATTCAGTTTTTAAAGTTCTTTCACACTTGCACAGTGATGTCAATACTGTTCGGAGCCCCCAAAAGGAACAGTGTTAGCAAGGCTAATAAATTGCCAGTTTAAATCAGGAAATTCTTTTACTTTGACATTCATGCTCCTAAGATAAAAATGATTTTTTCTCAAAAGGAAACAATTGCATCTCAAGAGAAAGAAGAGTTTATATGGCAACTAAGCTACAAAGTTGTGTAAAGAGGAGGAAAACACTGACCACAGGGAAAAAATTTAAAAATAAACATCGTCTTACACACTCACTGTTACATTTCCCATCTTACCCAATCTTGCGTCTGGACAAAGTTTCATCTCCTATCCCTTTGCATTTTGAGATCTAACAGCGGCAACCAGATTTTAAGCCCCAAGTATATTATCATCAGAAAACTGTGTGCCATGACGCGGAGTCAACATTCAGGAGGGGCTACACATGATAAATATCATCAAGCAGGACACTGCTCATCAACAGTTCACCTTTTGGTTGCTTGACTGGCGAGCTGTAACCCCAACTGACCGAGATTCTTATCACAGTAATTTAGGGCAACAGTCAGCCACACTCTTCAGTGTAGGTATGGATCCTTAAAATGGAATGGAGTGTTTCCAACGTTAACACAGAAAAAGAGAGCAACAATGTGTTCAGCACCTTGCAAGGGCTGGCTCTATGAATTCAGGAATAATCTCAGTGCAGCAGTTCAAGCCGATTTTATGAACACCACATGGGGGCAATTCTGGTTTGCAGGCAATGTGTAACACTAGGTTATTTATTCTAAGGGACACATACCTTTGTAAATTTAATTCTAAAAAGATTTCAATTGATTAACAGGAAAAACAGAAGGGTGGATGAAGCCAGGAGGGCAAACAGCGGATGAATTAGGAGATAGGTTACCAGCGACCAAAACTCACCTGTAGATGATCCCTTTCTCGTGTAGGAACATGAGTGCTGAAATGATTTCTGCAGCATAGAAACGAGCTCGTGCTTCATCAAAACGACGAGACTTTTGAATGTGAAACATCAAGTCGCCCCCATTCACAAACTCCATCACGAAGAACAGGCGATCCTGGATACAAACACAAGAGAGGATCCAACGTGGTGTAACCATTAGCCTAGAATCTGGTCACCATCATGTTACCTTGGGCGGGGGCGTGGGGAGAAGAGGTCATCAAGTGGAGGTACTCAGTGGAATATCCTGATGGGGTTAGTGCAAAGCATGAGGGTGTTTGTGGGGGCCGTGGGGGGGCACGTAACACCTGGATCTCCTCTAAGTAATTCCATACAGCCTTGATCTCTGCATTAAACAAAAAGTAGGAAAGTCTCAGGAGCCTTTGGTTCTAGTAGCAGCTCTGCACTTAAACGCCACGTAACCTTGAGTTTAATTTGTTTTGGACGTCAGACGTTAGCAAAGTGAGGATGAGGGCAGGATCCCTAGCCCAATCATGGGGTTTCAGAATGTGGAGGAGAGCAACATAAATGGAAAGGCACATGCCGCTCCTCTGGAACATGCAGGGTTAATTGCAGAATGCAAGGGACACCTACCAGGTCCTCACACTTGGGTAGGGAACACTCACAGAAAGAGGAAAACATTTTAGACAAGCCTGTCAAACAGCAGTCTAACGACAGCCTCAGAGTAGCCTCAGTGTTAGAAATTCCATTCGGGCCATGAGGAAATTCCCGAGTTAGGAGTGGAAAGGTGCAGACTGGTGGGATGCTGGCTCTACTTGGAAGGAGCTCTCAGCCTCACAGAGGAAAGGGCCCTCACGGTTCCCCATGCAAGTGCACTAAGTACTGAGCATGTGGTGTGAACACAGTGCCTTGATTAAGACTTTAATAAAAGGAACGTGAAGTCTCAATGAAAAAGCGATGTCTGTAAGACTGACAGTATCAAGTGCTTTGTTTCAGGAACCTCTGAGATCAGTGGATTTTTTTACTCCCTCCACTAACATCTACGAAGTCCCTGGGTTGCCAGGCACTGAATGAGGTGCTGGGGATCCAAGAGAGTAGAACAGGCATAATGTAGATACAACCTCTACCCATATAGAGTCTGGTAGGGAGACAGACACTGATTTAAAAAAATAAACAAGGAGTCATATAAACAAATAAAGTTACAAATTCTGGTAAATCCTGTGAAGGAAAAGGGGAGGAAGAGGAGACATCTGGTCATCTGCCTGGGGGTCAGTGGAGGAGTCTCTGAGCGAGTGACATGTAAGCAAAGGTCTACAGGATAACCCCGCAGGGCCAGCCATCATCGTTTTGGGGGCAGGGGGGCCAGGGGTGGTGGACGTCATTTTGTAGGAAATTGGTTTTTGCCAATTCACAAAGGATGTGTACTGACAACTCATCTTTCCTTGTGGTTTTCAGTGCCCCAGCTTTGTTCACAATGTTACCACGCATCCACAGCTAAGCAGTGGACACAGCTGTGCGAGTTGTAGCTCACACTCCCAAGTCACCACTGGTTTCATTGGGCCTTCCAGATCAGAACACAGAACTCATGACCTCTTAGTCCTGATTTTAAGTAAGACCTTAATTCAGAGAAAAAAATAATCCCCTGGGTCTATGAAACTTCTGTTAATGAGAAGTATGAATTTAAGAGTGAAGATGGGGGGAGGTGGGGCGCCTAGGTGAGCATCCAACTCTTGATTTCGGCTCAGGTCAGGATCTCATGGTTATGGTTTTGAGCCCCGCATCAGGCTCTGTGCTGACAGTGTGGAACCTGCTTGGAATTCTCTCTCCCCTGGTCTGTGTGCCTCCGTAGCTTGCAGGTTCGCTCATGCTCTAAATACATATATACATAAACAAACACACAAACAAATATTAAAAAAAAAAGAGTGCATAAGGAACAAGGTTCACACACACAAAAACAAAACCAAACAATAACAAAACAACTCTTGAGGTTGGCCAGTGTAAGTCAATCGAAAGCTAAATACAGTGAGCCATCTGACTGAGCTAGTGGCCTTCATTTGAGTGTGACTGACAAATGGAGTGGCAGATGTGGTTAGGACAAGCTTTGATGAGCAATGGTGTTCTTTATTTTCCATATGGGAAGGACCCAAGAGCAGGGTAGCAGTGGAGTGGGATGGAGGCTAAGTACGCGATGGAGATACGTCCAAGAGCTGCGTCCGCACAGGCCACTGTAATGACAATGCTGTGTCCATTTTGAAGGGGTGGCCAAGGGGGACACGATGAAGACTCAAGTGGTAAAGCCACCCAAACCACCCCTCGACAAGTAGGTAAGTCTTACACATTTTTGTTAACCAGCCTGTTCACCTTCTTCATGGCTGTGACTGGCAGTCACGTGAATTCCAAGAGCTCGAAATACCTGATTACTGGAATTGGGTCAGTAGGTAAGGGGCCATTCCTTAGGCTGCTGAAAGTCAGTGTAGTTGGCAAGAGTTCCTAAGGCAGTAGGCATCAAAAAGATGAGAGTATTGTAAGGGCAATTTCATCCATTTCTAGTTTCCCCCAAATCGTTCTCATATTCTCAAGTCTGAAAAGCCAGAGCAGGGGCTCAGTTCCAAATCTGGGGGAGGAAATACTGCCTTCTTGTCTCTTTCATCTGTTCTTCAGCCCAGCCCTGGAGGTGGGTTCTCAGAAAAAGTAGGACGGTCAGGGGGTCACACCCGCCTGTGATTTGCAACAAGGTCATAAGCCTCAGGAATGCGAAAATAGGGGTTTCTCTTCATTTAGACTTTCATTTTCTTAATGCTTATCTATTTTTAGCATGAGTGGGGGAGTCACAGAGGAAGACACAGAATCCGAAGCAGGTTCCAGGCTCTGAGCTGTCAGTACAGAGCCTGACATGGGGCTTGAACCCACAAATGTGAGATCGTGACCTGAGCCAAAGTCAACGCCACCCCGGCGCCCCTCAGAGCTTCACTTCTAACTTCCTGTATGGCACCACCTAGAACAACTCTCATCCCTCAGGCTACTTACAGCTCTTGAAGCAAGCAGGAAGGGGAAACAAGCCAGCCAGATATAATGACAATTTACCAAAAGTAATGGTCCATCCTATCAAAGACCTAAAATAATATCACAAGGTAGGAAAATAAAAATGTGTTCATCAACTCACAGAATGCCTTTGCTGAGAGGAGCCCCTCTGTTTACACGCATATCTCTTCACCCTAATAATGGCCTTTCTGACACCTAAAGTCACCAGGCCATCGAGCTTGTTGGAACAACATCCAAATGAGATACAATCAGCCCTGGTTTGGGTCCCAGGGCTCCATGGGAGTAAAGGGTCTGAGTTCTGGTATGCAGGCTTTATGGTACCTAATAAGGCTTTCAGAGATCTTTTACACTGTTAAGGTTCTCAACCAGAAGGAATGTTTACCGAGCACACGCAATACCAGGTCCTGGGGAGAGACAAAGTATTGTAAAATGAACGCCACCCCACACCTGCTCTCCAGAAGTTCAGAGAAGTGTGGATAGAGCACATCACCCCAGTGTACTCAGAGCGGTGGAGGCACACAGAGGCTGTCGTGGGAACAGATCAGGACACCTGAGCAGCCTGGAGGCTGGGGTGGGACGTGGGGAAAGCTTCCAAGAGGAGCTAATTCCCCAGCCTTGAAGGATGAGGAAGCAGGAGTCAGGCTGGAGTGGGGAGGCATCAAGGTATACGAACAGCTGAACTATCAGGTATGAGGCAGGGGACAATGGCTGCAAAGGGAGACCGTCCCTAAGTGCTGAAGCTTCTGCATGTGGGGCATCACTGGAATATGCTGCTTTCATAATCAAGTGTTGACAGAAGAAGCAAAAGGCTATGGGGTGCCTAGGTGGCTCAGTCGGTTAAGGGTCCGACTCTTGATTTCGGCTCAGGTCCTGATCTTGCAGTTTGTGAGTTCGAGCCCCGCATCGGGCTCTGCGCTGACAGTGCGAAGCCTGCTTGGGATTCTCTCTCTCTCCTTCTCTCTCTCTGTCCCCCAGCCCCCCTTGGGCTCTCTCTCTCTCTCTCTCTCTCAAAATAAATAAACTCAAAAATTTTTTAAAAAAGCAAAAGGCTAGTTAGGGTACTTCCTTTCACCCCATCCTCAGGCCACCGACAGCTGAGAAGTTCAGGGCTATAGTCCTGTTCAGAGAGAGGCTCACTCACCTATTGGTCTCTACAATTAGCGTCTGGGCTAAACCAGGTGGCAGCTATGGTGCTTGGCTGGAAAAAGACTCCGCGAGCAGAACCCGCCACACATGCTAACACATCAGCTACAAACGCAAATCAGCCCTGCTAAATGTTCCTGCCATGGAATGAGTTCCACCAACCCGAGGGGAACCTTTCATACCTAGCGCGTGCCCTTTACAAAGCAGAGTCATGGACGTGACGTTGTGACGGGAGGCAGGAGATCGCCTCTTGCCTAGACTCCACTCGCAGTCTGGGCTGTTGAAGAACTAGTCTCCCTCACCACCCGACAAGCACGAAGTTACGCTTTACAAACTCAGCTGTGAAGCAAGTAGAGGAAACATCTGCCGGGCCCCCCGAGTTTAGGGAGGCAGGGCATAATAGATTCAGGTTGCCTGTGAGTCACTTCTGGGGCAGGGAACAGTTTCCAAATCCCGCCTACGGCAGTGAGTACAAAAACAACTGTTTCTGTGTTTCAGCCTGTGTAGACAGCCATTCCAGCTTTTCTAAAGTCCAGTCTCCTAGAAACTGAGTCCTGGACACCTGCACAGCTTTCCCTGAGGCCTCTGGCTCCTCTCAGGTAAATTTTGCTCTGATCTGCAAGGTAAGAAACCCAAGGTCCCTGAGACTGGAGACCGGTGTAACTTCAGTTCTAAAGCCAAGTGGCCCAGCCCTTTGTCCCTTGCTCCTCTTTTGTCCCCCATTCAACCAACCACAAATGCAAGTCATTAACACGGGTGAGGAACACCTGGGGGAATAAAAACAACACAGAAATCCCTTTGTCCCACGCCTCCCTTCGGATTAGGAGGCCAAGGAGCTGGTGCCTGGTTAATAACAGAATTCCTGTCATCACCTGCCTGGCTCCATTAACCCGCTGCAGCCTGGCCCAAATCTGTCCTGGCTATCAGTTCAGGGCTGTTACTTCTTAGGGGTCAAAGGGGATAAAAATATCC